CTTGGATAGCCGCGCAAGATGAGGCGTATTTTTAGGTTGGTTATAAGATCGATTTTTAGATTTGAGCTCCAAGTCGGGAGCTATGAACTAACTGATTGGCACCTATGGATATGCTCCTTACCGTATGCAGGTACATATTATTTGTAGGATGTAGCCGTGTACAAGTAAAACCTAATCCAAGTTAGGGCGTCTTGCATGCTCTGTACACGTTACTTCCGTCTGTTACGCAGTATAATTATACATACATGTTAGGTAAGGTAGGTATCCAAGGAAACAACACCCCAGAGCCGTAGTCCTGGGAAGGTATAGTCTAATTGAACATTGAGGTAATACTGAGACTTAACCAAAGTACCTACCTACCTACATATGTATAATACGTATAGGTATAAACTAGGGGGGGTTGTTTAGTATGTAGACCCCGGGTTGACAACCCCCGACTAGACTCCTCGTCAATCTAGATAATATATTTTGTAATTAATTCTTATTATTCAATACCACTATGCAAGGTCCAAAGTCAACGGTCATTAGTTATAGGGCTGAGCTGAAATGCGACAATACATATAGTAAATCTACAGTAAAACGAAGAAAATCATAATATTTGATTCTATTATATGATATGCACCTGACATGCAAATATTACCTATGAGTGCCTACCTTAGCAAGTACCTTGCGATGAATAGGTATACTTCTTAATATTTCCATATGTGCGTCTCTTTTCTTATTAACCTAAGGTCGTGGTTTCTCCGTGTGCTTCCATCCCTTCGCTGTGGAAATGCAAGCTTGTGCGCCGTAACCGTAACATGAGAAGGAAGGGACATCGCCCTATCGATAAGGCCTTAGCCAGGGGTACCTAGCTCTCTTACAGCAATGTCAGGGCCAGGGTAAGAAGCGCTTCCCTTTCATTCTACAACCTCGGTCCTCTTACGTACACTTCTTCACTTCCTCATTTCCTACATAATGCATAATGTTTTCGTGCGTATGAGTTTCTGCACTCACGCATCATAATGGATACTCTTCTCCATAACTCTCCTCACGGACGATTCCCCCGTAATTACCTAGGTAAGGTACTGCTCGTCTCCTGTAACATATTAACGAGGAGTGACATATCATTGCTCAAGATCTCTCAATGGCACGCTTCAATCGCGATCAAGGTTCTTCGTTGTACAAAAAAAGCCACCTCATTTTCATTCTAACCTATGCCTGAGCCGTACCTACGCTTCTGAGACTACAATATTGGGTCTCGAAAATCATGGACAAGACTATGCAGGAAGCCGTCCCGGAGTTCTAAGTTCTAGCTGGTAGCCGGATTCTAGCTGGTAGCCGGACCCCGAGATCAAGGAATGAACTATGGGGGACGGGAACCGACTTTGCCTAGCTGGACGGCTTCTAGTTACCTGGGGTTCATCTTATGTAGCTACCTAAGGCAAGCTCAAATACCTACATACAGCATGATGGTTGTCCGAAACTCCAAGCCACGTGCGCCAACTCTCAACACCTCCATATCGCTCTGTCATTTTTTTCGTCGTCTCTGGGGCACGTATGTTTAATATCCGACATGTGGACTCCCTGACACTTTAATATCTCAGACTTCTCTTTACCCTTCCATAGCGCCCGCTATTTTAGCCGTTCGAGACCAGATATCAGAGGTGATCCAGGTTATAACAATCAATCCTGGTCCTTCATATGCATGGTCGATGAAGTACTGGACCTATATCAACGCCGATCTGCAGGGCGGATCCTTGGCACCACCCTGTTGCTTCCGCCACATCGTAAGGTCGAACTTGTACTTATGAAGGACGTCTCAAGGAACGTGCCGATTGGGCAGGCTTGTGTTCAGCCAGACGCCGGCCATGGCGACTGCACCGGATTGTAGTGCAGGTAAAATTTAGATTCTGACTTCTCGGCGTTTTACGCCTCTTGTTTTCTCACTACATAGGTTGGATACGTATGGATAACCATCGCAGTAACACGTCTACATTTTCTCCTCCAATTAACAGACTATGTGAAGCATATCCGAGACTTCAACGGTCAAGCGGGAGTAGCCCAAGCCACATTACCACTCTGGCTTGCGAACTCGTTGCCTGATAGTATGGAGTCTAAGTGTCTATGTGCTGTGTATCGGCTCCCTCGCAACGAGATAGGCTAATAGCGTTTAGGTGCAATACGCTCTACTTGCACGAATGCCGTCTAGCCTGCTATGATACTCACTACGAAGGTCACTTAAACGTAGCAACACGGCTGAACACTGATGAGAACCTAGGCATGCCTAGTGAATGGACAGCCTCAACATATTGCCGGCGTGGGTTGAAATTGCCGAGCAAGAATAACACTTATAGCACGTCGTGTCTAGGGACTATATCGTATCTACTCATCATCATACGAACTCATACATGACTTCTTAACGACATGAGCTTTCCATTAGCCGACCAGTGGGCACTTTACGATGAGATCCATCTACCCCATGGGCCCCAACAGTAGCACAAATATACACGCTAAATCGAGGCATTCAATTACGGTTATATCTCAAGCAACAAACCGAGGACATTATCCTGGCGGTTAGTGCAGATTCCTCGTCGATTGAAATTCCCGGGGTTATAGTGGAAGATCTCTTGGAACTTGGAATGTAACTACCGCTAAGTAAATGCTTTACCTAGGAATTCTCATCGCATCGAGCATTACAACGGCATTTCCCAGGAAAGCTGCTCAGCACGGGAATATCAGCCTACACAGAGTTAATAGAACTCACCAGTATCTCCATGTCCATTACTCTGGCCTGCATACTAGCCTTAATCCATACGATATAGCCCATGATAGCACAATTTTTTGTCCTTCCCACCTCGTTACATGAGCTGAAGCTGTGTCGTTGCATGAATTTACGGCACGTGGATGATCAAGGCAATATCTGTCCCAAATAGGGAGGTTCTTATTCGCACTATATTCCCCTTAGCCAGCAATAGGCCGCTCCAGAGCTTTCGTGTACCAAACAAAATGCCATTTTCTAACCTCTAGACAGGGTGTATTCGCTCCGTCTCTGTATCCCAGTCTCGGAAGTCAAATAGTTGCCCTCCGTGGCCTTGGTGCTGACTAACTTCGGTCCCCGGCGAGCCAACTTTCGAGGTAAAGTTACTGCAAAAATATATCTTATAGGTACCTAGGTATGAATACATGCAATGTCTTCTCGGGTAAGTTTTAATTGACGAAGAATCAGAGGTAGCTTGTTAATTCAAATAAGAGGCTTGTTCCTATGCCGTGTTCGTTTTCCGCGTATCTCAACGCCAAGAGTCATGGGTGAAATACCTGATCATAATCCCCGATATCACACATTGTATGGCATTTGGTTTACACTTCTCACACCTGGATGGGTAAAGTCTGAAGATGCTTGATCATTCGCTACCGACGGTAGCTGTCCCGTTAACTCCAACCGCTTTAGGAAATACCGGACAAGGTTCAACTGGAGTCTACACTACCACCGGCTAATACGGGGTTTTCTCCAAGAGGAAAGGTGCAGCCACCGGGCTAGCCCTGTGATAAGATGTTACCAGGGAACTCTGTGGTTCCTAGTTTCTTATATCTTCGATTTCCGAGAATACTGTATTCCTACTGGTCGGGATGTCACGACACCTATTCGCTCACGGAACTTAAGCTTCACAAACCTCTGGCCTTTGCGGGATTAGCTTGCCCGTTCTTGACAGCCTGCGGACGTGTGGATGCGACGCCTTACCTCCCGAGAAACTTGTGTAAGCTTGTCCAAGCGCGGCTATCGGTAAGTCTGTCTGACTGCCCTTGCTACATGGTAGATGTATGGCGGTGATGAGGCCGTACATGCCGCACATCGCGCAGGAATGGAACACTAGAGTCGGTCTACAGCCATCGATAGAAGGACCGATACGTCTCGCAGGCCGCCCCCACGTTCTGGAAAACATTTTTGCTACCTTTTAACTGCCACCGCCAAGCCCTTTCTTCCGAATGCCTCATGACATCTTCGTCATGCGGGTTAATTGAAGTGGCCATGAGGGTTTTGGCACTTGGACTTGTTCAGCTAGTAGGGTTCTCAATATATGCATGCTAACACTTAGCTCAGGACAAGCATGTATTGACCTTTCTAGAAATTTAACCAACACGGCCGTTGACGCGGGACGAGTAGTCGGATGAGCCTTAGAGCCTAGGGCTAACAGCTCTCGCGAATAATCCCATGGGAAGAGATATCGATATAAGCTCTAACCAGATGGTCTGTCAGCTTGAGATGTTAGAATAAAAAAGGCCTAGGTAGATTCCCAGTAACTTACGCCCTGTCTGAAGTGCTAAATGTATGAGAATACGTCGCATTTGCTTCAAGGCGCCAAACTGTTCGACACTCAGGGCCTTATAAACTCACAATGCCTTAGGTAGTTTCTGTATCTATTTCGACGAGGAGCGTATGCGAAGTGGTTTACTCCCCGGCTTACGTCGAATCCGGAAACACTTTTCGGAAAGCTCGACCAGCTCGTGATTACTTACACGGCAAAGTTTCGATACAGAATACGATAAAGGATATAAACCTATATCCCGGGGTAAATAGAGTCTACTCACTGGCCTATCGTGACTCTATTGCTCAAGTGTAATTATATTTCTATGCTCTCAAGTAGTTAAGGCCGATTGAAGTATATGAGCCTGTCGTTGTTGTTACCATTTAGGTGTGGTATGTGTCTAGTCAGCTCAGCAAGTCCCACGGGTGTTTATCTCATAGGGGTAGAGCTTTAATGCAGTACGTCGGACTATCTTATGGTTATCTCTTAGCTTGATAACAAAGCTGAATTCTTGAATGCAAGGTTGAGAACTTAATAACAGTTTGGATTCAAAAACAGGTATATATACTAGTACGTTTAAGGGATGGCCCCTACGCCTCTATGATCACTGAGGAGACATCAGAAAAGTTGGAAGGACGTAAAGAGTGATGTTAAATAAAAGGCTCAGTATAGATCATTGCGCATTCGTGTTGCTTCACTCAGGACTAGTAATGATTAAATCGCTCAATGATTTATTTGTAATTATCATGTTTTGCTAATAATAAATATGCGATACGCCAATGCGGATATCAAAGTGATCATGTAAAATACTCATACCCAGAGCACCCCCTCGTGCTTCTTTATGCCATTATCTCATTACTTGCTGCTTAAACTTCCTGCTTAGTGACATGCTCGACGTTTTGGACAGCGGCCTTGTCGGTGAAGCCCATCTCGGCGGCATATGTAGAGTGAGGCACCCACTTGGCCGATGTCCTGGGCGTGGTCTCCTCCAACATGCGGTCCACCTGCTCAAGGGTCAAGCCCTTGGTCTCGGGGACTAGGAAGTAGGCGTAGATGAAGCAGAGAGTGCAAAGACCACCCCAGACATAGAACACCTTGGGACCAAGGTTGCCCTTGTCCGCGTCTACCATGTAGGGGGTGATGACGGCAATAATGCAGTTCCATAGCCAGTTGCTGGCGGTAGAGAGGGCGACACCACGGGCACGCATGGGTAGCGGGTAGATCTCGCCGATGACAACCCAAGCTCCACTAGACAGATGTTAGTATCCACTTGACCAGATAGAATAAAAGCCAAGAGGGTAGGAATCAACTTACGGGCCCCAGGTGCTAGCGAAGAAGAAGATATAGATGCAGATGAAAGCAATCATAGTCTTAACAGCGGCATCGGCTTGAGTGACTGTACCTAGGATGGCAACGATGAACTGGCAGATAACCATTCCAAGGGAACCCCAGATGAGTAGAGGTCGACGACCGACCTTTTCCATACTCCAGAACGAGATAGGGGTCGAGAAGACGTTGACGAGCGTGGTGATGAGGGAGATTAAGAATGGGTTCGAAATGGTACCGAGTTGCTTAAAAAACTGAGTTCCGTAGTAGAAGACAAAGTTGACACCGGTCCATTGTTGCATCATCTGTAGCGAAGTTCCTAAGATAGTTCTCCTAAGGTTGCTGCTGCCCTTGAATATGGAGCCGCGGAAGCAGTTCCCCCAGGTGCTCCAGTAGCCTCCCTCAGGGGCAACCGACATCTCGTACTCATGGTTGGCGATGATCTCAGCAAGTTCGTCCTGGATGTACTCGGTGTCGACGGAGTGACCGCGTAGTCGCGCAAGTACGCCCGCAGCCTGGTCAAGCTTGCCCTTCTTCACAAAGTACCGAGGGGATTCCGGGAGGATGAAGAGGCCGATAGCGAGGATGAGGGCCCAGAGCATCTGGAGGGCGATGGGAATGCGATAAGATCCGCTGTCGTTTCGGTCTTGAGTACCGTAGTCGACGGCAGAGGCTAACAGCAAACCAACGGTTACGCAGAACTGATAGCCCGAGACGAGGGCACCGCGAACTTTGCGAGGGGCAATCTCAGACATGTAAAGGATCAGGATTGCGGAAACCGCACCAACACCGAGACCAGCAACAACACGACCCGCCACGATAAGATCTAAGCCGGCAGAGGCAGTCTGAAGAGCAACACCGACAAGGAAGACGACGCAGCCGCCGATGATAGTAGTACGTCGACCACACCAGTCGGCAATGTCGCCGGCAACAAGGGCACCTGATATAGTAGTCAGCGGATTAAGTTCTTATATATATATATATATGTGTGTGTGTGTGTGTGTGTGTGATGTGTGATGTGTGTGTATTATAGAATAAGGAATGACATTAGTCGCTTACCGAAGAAAGTACCGGCAGACAGGACCGAAGTGATGAGAGACTTGTGGTCACCGGTGAGTTCAGTAGCACCGGGACCCTCGATCTGCTTGATGAAGTAAGGCATCGCCATGACACCGTTGATATAACCACTGTCGTATCCGAAGAAGATACCACCGAAGGCGGCAAAGGCACACATGAGATAGGCCTTGATTGTAACCGGAGCTTCGACCCGGTTAGGGTCGGCGGACCCCTGGACCACAGCACCTCCCGCCATCGTGAACGAGGCTTAATAAAAGTCGTCGACGTCGAATTGCTAGGTAATTGCGAGAGGCCGATTGGCAAAGTTTAATAATATGACGGTCTACTACTAAGTACCGGGGAGTTGTTATATGCTAAGCAGATAGGGTCGGGGAGTGCTGGGTAGTAAAGAAAGTAAGTCAGAAGAAGAGAAGGATGAGCGACAAGGAATCGTGAGAGAGAGAGGGAAGGAGATGTGATACATCAAGGGGAGTAAGATCTTCTTATGTAGATGCGTGGTGTGTCTGTGTACACTATGTGTGTGTGTGTGTGTGTGTGTGTGTGTGATCTAACCCAACACCACGGCACAGTTAATGAACCTAACCTAGATCTCTCTTGTCCGCGCAGCCAAGGTTTCTTCTACTGCTGAAGGACCCACCTCCACTCCCCAGACGAGATGAGAACAAAGTAAGCGTCTCCACGTCCCAAGCACGAGGACAACCCGCAAAAAAAAAACGCCCAGACTCTAGGCCCCGGACAGCTATCCCCTCGGGGTCACGGCCTTGTAAACCTTGCTCGAACTAGCTCCGTCTTTAAGTCTGGGCGTATTACGTTTTCTGGAACCAGGACGAAGGTGCCAAAGTTTGGGAGGTAGGTAGGTTGCATTCACCCCGAGTTTTGCTACACGCGTCGTGTATCCCACGGCGGTGTTTTGACCCCCACAATATGTCACTCTCCAAGTAGAAAGTATATTTTTTAGGGTTATAGTTTTATTTTTCTTTTTTTGGTTTGACGTTTCATTTACTGGTTAGTTATTGATAAAGTTGTCATAATTGTCCCTGCGTCGTAAACTAAATTTACCTTAGTTTTATCTATCTCCGTTGGCTCGAGAACACTAGTCCTTAACGACTGACAACACAAACCAAGAAAATAGCTTATCATAAACATTTAGGATTCGCTTCTTAATACCCACATGCCATGTTCTCGGCCTAATCCATACACTACTATCCCATGGGGAACTCGGTCAAATAGGCTCGTATCAGGGTCGAAAGCAAGCGGAGAAGCAAGGCGGAGTGCAGGCCCCAACCCAACCCCGACCTAGTCCCCCGTACTACGGATGAGTCTCCGAGGTAAAGGAACCATGTGGCCGGAAGGAAAAAGAAACAAGAGAAAAAGGGTCTTTTTTGCCTCTTCCCCATACTTACACTAGCTGCTACTAGCACTTACCATCTCCATCGTCAAACTTCCCAGGAAATGACGAGAACTCCACCGCCCGGCGCCCATTAGCCGAGAGATGCACTACTATCATCTATGTCCACATTAGGTACGCACCAATCTTCTCACCGTCGCCCCTTACCCCAGAAGAAAGGCCCTTGATGTCCCCTTCTTTTCCTTCACACCGCTCGGCCCGGTGCGAAAAGGTACGGATGTCCCATCAGCATACACTACATAGATAGGTTAGATAGGTAGGTAGGTAGATAACCCAACAAAACCACACTCTGCATCCACGCCCAAAAGGACCGTTCTCCTCCATTAGCATTTACATACCTAAATCTACCATCCCATCCAACCCTCGAGAACGGCCGACATACTTTACTTACCTACCTACCTACCTACCTACTTAACATACATACTATAACGAAGATCTTAAGAGAAATAAGAAGAACGAAGGAATAAAAAAAAAATTAAAAAAGCCAGCGTCTGCTCCTAACTCGGTACACTCGGCTTCATTGTGGAGCCGCGGCGATAGCGTCGGCCGTTTTGTCGTTGGCTCGACGGGGCCCCTTGACAATGCGGCTCCGCGCCCAAGGTTTTCGCGCGCGGTCATTGGCCAGGGGGAGGGAAAGAAAAGTGAACTAGGTAGCGGTATGTACATTATGGTTATTTCCCTGCGCTCATCTCCCACGGCCTGTTCTAGAAGCTAGAAGCTACCTACCTACCTTTTATGCTTCTGTCAAATTTAAAAAATCAGGGGTAACAAAAAGTCGTATTTTTGTTAAGAAGCGTGACTGATTGACTGACTGACTGACTGACTTAATTGATGCGATGCGATGCGATGCGATGGATGTTTTTATTTATTTATTTAGGTAAAGTACATGCATATACACACGGTACTGAAAATAATTAGATTAGGTAGATCAAGTAGATCTAGCTAGTAACAATGCCCCCCCATTCGTCCGTTAAATCCTAACCTAGTCGTAACCTGGACCTGGCATCACACGATTTAGAAGATTAGGTACTTTGGTAGCGGAGACGGTCCGACTCGGTCTATTTACCTACCCTATCCTATCCTATCCTATCTTATCCTGATAAAACTCGACCTCGATAGACTGATTGGTCCTGCGCGTATCGATAGCCGTAAGAAGGGGTGTAAGGATCAATTATTCCATTCATCGTCTCTCAACCATCTCCAAGTAGCAATCTTGTTCGAATCGAATGCAGTATCTATGATCTATGTATGTGTGTTTTTCTCGCCGACTTACATACATTTAAGATCTACCGCACATCTCAATTACGTCACGCGAGGTAAACGCTGTTTACCCTTGTCATTTATCACTGCTATGTTTTTCTGCGTTTGCCGTAAGCCGTAAGCTAGAAATCGTTCTAGACTCTTGGCGGTGCCGAATCCAATCCATTCATACACTACTAACTAACGGCAGCGCCGAGACGAATAGTGCGGCTTGTCTAAACTTCGACATTAACAACAAGAATTAGCCAATTCCTAGCGTCTATACTCTCAAACTCAATAGGGGCATTGTATCAAAAATACCTACGCACTCTATACGGTATGCATCGTCAAATTTATAACTTAATTTTGTTTTTACTTCGCATGCGTTGGTTTAGAGTTGGGTAACCTGTAACCGTAGGACATTAATATCAATGTTAACATTAACATACGATCAAGCTTAATCACAAACAAGTCACTATTCACCAAAACACAGTTTTTTTTTTATAGCAGCAAACCCAATTTCTCTTGAATACATAGCGTCCGCCGCGCATTATCGCTCGGCAATCCGCATTACAACTATACATTGAACGTCAACATACATGCATGGTATTTGATACCTATGTGATTGATATCAACCAACGTCTCGTCTCGTCTCATCTCGTCTTCTCTTGTCTTATCTTATCTTGTGGCGAATCTGCCCGTCAAATCGTGCCTTATGCTGCCAAGGGCAAAAAAAAAAAAGTTTGCCTTCGCGTGGGAAGGTTGAAAAACAAGTGCAAAGTGAAAACATGATAAAAAAAAATCATATCCATGCCGGCCGTGCTAGACGCAAGAAAAAAGGGGGAGGGGACAAAAACATGTCGGAAAAAAAAAACAGAGGTGATCGGATATGTAGTTCCCCTTTTGCAAAGACAAAAGACAAAACAAAAAAACAGTGCTCCTCGCCGTAAAACCGAAAAAACGCCACGCAAATGCAGACAAGACGAGTATGTAGGTATATACTGCACCACCACCGCCACTGCCCGGCCACACGTACGCAAGCCACCGGCCGCCATTAATAAAACCAACCAGCGCGTATGTAGCCTAGCTTGATCCAGTCCAGTCCGGTCCTCCGTGGGGTCCTCGCCCTCGTGTCCCCATCCTTAGTACCACAGTAGCACGTGCACAAGTATATTAGGTAGCAGCAGTAGTAGGACCCCGGAATTTAGGGGGTTTTGGTTGGTCGAGTTTCAGTTCCTCTTTTTTTCCCTTTCCTTGTTCGTTTCGTTTCATTTCGTTCTAGTCCATCTTCCCTTATCAGACGCAAACCCACTCGGCAAACACGCACCATCTCGCCGTCCGGTCCGCGAGCACCAGGCCGCGCCAGACGCCGCGCTCGGAGCACTTGATGATGGTTTCCCACGTGCCGCCGTCGCTGGCCTCCTCTTCGGCGCTGCGGCCTCCCACGCCGATCCCGGATCTGCCGACGCGCTCCTCTTTGCGCATGAGCCGCAGGATCTTGCCGCCAGGTGTCTGAATTGCTAGCTTAGCCGGCTTCTTTCCTGCGATGCTGCCCGTAGCAGAGCTCGGATTCGATCCCGCCGCACTACTGCTAGTCATGCTCATGGCGCTGGCCGGCCGCGCGAATGGCACCGGGCTTGTGCCTCCTGGGTTGCTGCCCGGTCCACCTGCCGGACTAGATGGGTGTTGCCGGATGGCGAAGACGAAGGTATTGTTAAGTGCCAGCCGTTGACACTGCGGCTGAGCAACGTAGATATCGTGACGTTGCGCATGCGGTGTTGGGTGGCGGGTAACAAATTCGTAAGGCGGATTTTCGCCCGTATGGATAATCGGCAAGGCAAAAGCGAGAGGGTGCGGGATGTCTTTAATACTATGCATAAGTCCGCGCTTACCAGCGTACACCTTCAAGATGCCGCTGCCCTCGTCGCCTGGTAGGAGCGCCTTTACCGTGTACCGTTTTACGCCGCCGTACCAGTCGGCTTGCGCGAGTGCGCGTTTCTTCACTATTTCGCCGCTTTCGAAGAAGTCGCCGTCCGCGTCTCGTGTGAACCCTTTAGTTTCGACTTCGGCTGCCACTTCGATATCAGGGGGCACGTTGAACTTGATGTGTACCATCTCGAGATCTTCGATACGAGTTAACGAAGTATTGTAATCCACCATAGAGATCATATGTTTGAAGAACGGAGGGCAGACACCGGGTAAGTTGAGTAATGTTTCATGTGCTACGGGCGGGCAGACATGCTGCTGGCCATGGTGCTCAGGAATATGAGTCCAACAAAGCTCGACGGGACGGGCGAGGAACCACCAAAACTCTGCGGTCGAATTGCTGGCGCTTGAGTATAAGCTCCGACGGGGATGGGTAGGACTCGCAAGACAACAATCCATCATGCGCCATTCGTTATCAATAATAACGGCATTCCACCAATGGTTTGATCGAGGTATTATAGCCGTTTCGGGGACCTCGCCGGGAGTCTTCAGATAACCACGGATGACCTCAGAGTGTATACCGATCGCGGTACACATCTCGTGGACAAGGACAGCGTATTCCTGGGGACATGCACGCTTTGTCTGGATCACTCGCCGCGTATCTACGTCCCCTTCGAAATCTTCTTCCCAATTTACGTTCTCCGCGACCCAAGTGAAAATTGCCCGGAGACGCTGGACGTCACTTTTGTATGGTCTGCATACATAAGTCGTGGCGAGGGACACGGCTGTCGTCATCGGCGGTAAGCTGTTGATGAAGCGAGAGTTCTTATCGACTTGGCTCAAGTTTATGGCCTGATAATTGATGGGTTCATGAACCGGCATTCCATCAGCTCCCTCATCGCCTTCGACGCTCTCATAAAGCTCGTCGACGGGATCTATCGCCGGGTAGTCCAACATCAAGCAACGATCTTTTCGCTCATTGCGCTCGTTCTTGCTCAACGTATTCGAACGGTTAACATCTCTCCGTACTTGGACCCAGTCCCCATCATTCCTGAGTCCCATATCTGCGGCTGGGTCTCGCAATAGGTTTGTGCTACTAGCTCCCGTGATTGCTGATATCCCGAGACCCATCGAGCGCTTAGACGGCGAAACTTGCCCAGACCCCGGACTCATCGCAATACTACTACGACCGCTGGCAACACCAGTCTTTGTTGCCTCTAGAATCCTCTTGATGAAATTTTGCTTTTTGGGTTTAGCACTTCCAGGCTGCACGAGACCCCCAATGGGCGCAATTCCGTCTTCGTTGAAGCCAACCTGTGACCGGGGACGCAAAGCTGATGTAGAGTGACTTGGATGATACGACACTCCGGTGAACGGCGTAGTTGGGCGGTTTGCATCCCAATCCTCCTCGTCATCGCCATCTCTAAATCCCAGTGCGCTCCGTGCTCGTTTTTGCTTCCTAGCCAGACTTCCAGCACTCGTAGCGCTAATTCCGCCTGCGGACACGCCACTCATCAGACTTCGGTTCGTGCTGTTTGTTACTATACTTCGATTACCGGAAGAAGCGTCTGTCGAATTGGTCTTCGTCGTCCCTGTTCTATCCAACTGCTGTCCGATGTCATAGAACGACTTCTGTTTGCGGATGGATTTACGGTCTCCAAAGAAGTGATCACCTATCGAAGACTTAGGTCTGCTATATAGGGGGTTCTTAGGCGGCGGCGGGGGTGGGGGGCCTGTATCCTCTTCATGATCACGACGATCAAGGATTCCTGCGCTTGCGCTTTTATGGTGCATCTTGCGAAGGCGTGTCTCCATTCTTTCCACATAATTGTTCAGCTGCGGAAGTGGTTGCTCCGGGAAGCTGCCGCTATGATGTGTACTATCTTGAGGCGAACCACCGTCATACGATCCATATCCCGAATCTTGAAACGGCAAACCGATAGATGTTAGCGGTCTTGGTTGTTGCCCTTTCTTCTTCGTCCGGTGATGGACCAAGTCGAAGGACTCGGGGGACCATGGGTCTAACGGTGGCTCAGGTGATTCTGCTTCACGTGCCATTCCTAACGCGTCTAATTGCTCAATTACGCCGTCCATAGCTTCACGTAATGGCGAAGGAGTAAATCCGTCGACGGCTGGAGAGTGAGGACTCGGGGAAGGAACCCGCGGTGTATGATATCCTTCATGGAGACGTCGATTGTCATAAGACGCATTTGACGCTGTCGAATTGCCCCTGGCGATAACGTGACGATGAGGTGGTGGAGCAGGG